TGCCAAGCTAGTGATTTTCTAAAAAAAAAAAAAGAAAAAAACCCTATTCTATTGAATGAATATTTAAGACAAGATGACTTTTTTCCCCCGTTTTTTCGAAGTCACCTTTTCTTTTAAACCATTCTGAAAATCATTCTTCAGAAACCTTTCACATGCCTTCCCTTTGAAGTGTCCTGCTTACTGCAGTGTATATTTCAGGAGCTCTATACCTCCATGCCTCTTCTGTACTGGGTATACATGCCAATAGTGAAGAAAATGTCACCTATCACTTCAAAAGTGTTCAAACAAAATCTTTACTCAATTGGCTGGTAAGAAGAGTGCATGTTTAACAGTTTGAATCATTGAGTAAGTAAATGTTTGAATGAAGACTAATGAATCCATATAGAGTTGAAACAATAAGTGCAAATGTTAGCACTTTCCTTTGTTTTCTTCGTTTACAGTTCCTTAAACTTAGGGTTTAACAGAACTATGTAAAGGCTCAAATTAATTTCTTTTCTGAATTAATGTTCAAAATGTTTACATCTTCCTCTCTTCCCGCTCCCCTCCTTAGAATGAGCAGGCTGGACAATAATATCAGGTAGGGCATGACCATTGCTGATCCAGTGGCATTTCCTTGAGCAGAAAATGTACCCAGGTTCAGAAATTTTAACTTTTGGAAGTGAAAAATTTCCATTTTGAGCTACTCACCAGTCAGCTACAACAATGCAATCTGAAAAAGAGGAAGGGAGGAAGACCCATTGCTTCTTACTGATCACTGAGAGTGAAAGAAAGAGGAAAAAGTGATGGAAAGGTGTTGGAAACTACAGAAAATGAGTGGAGATTTTGTTAAGGAATCGAGCATAGAATAACAATTGGATTAAAGTTGATTTTCCACCCTATCCTCCAAGAAAAGAGAAAGCTGTAAACATATAGAATACCTCAGACTGAAGGAACTTTTCTATTCACTGAGTACTACCTGTAGCACTCACACCAGTAATGCCAGTAGCGTTGGTACCAATAATACCAACAATTCTGTGCTTTGACATAATCAAAAATCTTCAGACACACCGCTCGTGTGGTCCATCACACACACATGTTGAGGTCCATCAAAAGTCTGGTGGAGCCCCTTAAAGTGGAACATCCCTTGTTTCAGTACAGCAGAGGGAAAAATGCTAGGAAAACTTCCCCTCTATCTTTAAAAATGTGATTTAGGAAACAGTGAGAAGTTTTCTGAGTCTGAATTTTTTTGGATTACTGGCCTGACTTAGTAAAAAAATCCTTTGAGGAAAAATAAATTAGAACTTTTACTTCCCATTTCAAGCTGTGCTTGAATTTGCCATTTATTTTGCTTTCAAATTGTTTGAATAAAAATTTATTTATCTCTTTTTCTTTTTTTTTTTTATTTTACATACAAAGCATTTAATTATTTTTTGAGGCAGGACTAAATAAAAACTAAAAAGCAGACCAGAATTTTGTACCCGTCAGTCAGCTCTTAATGCTACCAGTAGGAAAGGATAGTGTCTCAGAGGAAAAATGGACAATCAAAATATTTTTAATTTATTATTTATTTAAAAAAATGGTTCAGCCAACTTATTTGTGAGTAAGTATATTATAAACAAAGTGGCTGTGAACATACACAGATATTATTATCATGAAAAAGAATTCCTGATGTTTTCCTGCTTATATTATGATTGCTAAAAATTTATCTCTGCTTTCTAACAATGATTACCTGTTACAAGGGAATCTCTTCCTCACGGAGCAGAAGAAATATAAGTAAATGTAAAAAAAATCTATTAATAAAACAGGAAAAAGCAGATTATATTACCACTTTTATACATAAATTGCTAATGGGATTCGTAGCTACAAAAATGGGACTGAGAAAAAGATCAGCAAATTCATTTTAATTAATTAGAATTAACCTCAAGGTATTCACATAAATAAGGGACTGCTTTCTAGCATTACCTATAGTATCTCACAGTCAAAGCACATATCATGTAGAAATCTAGCTCAGGGCCAGAGGAAAGAAACACAGTATGGGCTTGTCACAATATCTAGAGAAATGCAAGAACAGAGAAACAGAGGTAATTACCAGTGTAATAGGTATTAAGTATTGTTATTCATGGAGAGAGAGTTTGAGGCTATCAGCTTTTAATTGGCTCAATCCTAAATTCACTGGAGTCAATGAAAATTTTTCCAGCCATTTCAGCAGGATTTGGAGTAGTTTTCAGTACCTTACAACAAAGATGCAGTTGCCAAAACAATTATTTCCTCATTCTTCCTAGTAAGAGTCTTCTGGATAACCTTCAGTGGCAGTTGGTGCTTCTTAAGTTTGAGAGTTATTACTGAGGAAACAAATACTTTCTGAATGGACTTCCTCAGAATATGGTCACTGAACAAATAACAACAGAATTATTTTTTATTGTAAAAAATAACCAAAAAAGCATCACGGACACCTTTCTGTTCTAATTTCTGCAAGAATTGTCATTGCAATATTTAGAATGCATTTTGTTTATAAAATGTGTGCAAGGATGCATTATTTTAAAACACATTCTATGCAAGAATATCACTGGAGATAACTACTTTTTTTTATTAGTAGTAAATCCTTGCTCATGAAAAAAAGACCTTTTTATTATACACTTTGTGTAGGTATTGCACAGGGAAGCTGTAAAGAGACCTAGCAAGCACTTTTCTAGCCTCCAAACAATCTCCACATTTCAAATTATTTGTATCTGAGCATCAGCTCTCCTTTGAGAGAGATTTTCTCCATCACTGTTCTGAAGGCATGTGTTACTTAAATGTTGCAAAAGGGAAACATATGGAGAAGCAAGATGAGGAAGTACTTAGAAAAACCTCAGCAGTAAAGTAGAGAAAATAATAGCACAGTCCTAGCAATAGCACTGTTGTTCTTGTTTTCATGATGTGTTTGTTTAAATAAATATATATATATATGCATGCATTATATCATGGTGTCTCTAACATCTGTCATTTTGGACATGTAAAATCATGCTCAGTTCTTGAAAAAGTAGTTGCATGTAAGTCTGCTTCCGTGGGGAAAAAATCCCACACAAGTATCTATTTCAAAATAGCATCTGAGTGGAGAAAGATGAATCCTCAATAATAAAAAAATATTTCTTTCAGCATCTCAAAGGAATGTCCCAAATTCAAGGTCTTCTTGCTACTATTTGCTGATTTTTGTTCTCCTATTTGTTCCTAAAAGGAATCTTTTGCCCTCCATTAGCTACAAACTTCTTTTAAATCTCTCCTCTGAGCAACAAGGTTTTCCTGGCATTTATTTGTCAAGTTCTGTGTCGTGCAGGAGAAAGCACAGAAACCTGAGTAGAAGCCAATGTAATTTTGGCTGATGAATCTGTTATTTCATAGTTCTGGAGCACCCACATGGTGACAAAGCCTTGCTGGAGAGAATAATATGAAATTGAAAAATTTTCACATGGAAAAATGAATGAGGTCTGCAACTGAAAAATAATAAAAAATTACAATATTTATATTATAAAATATAATGTCCTTGGGCTGGACTGCCTATGATAGAAGTATAAATTTTTAAAGGCATAGAAGTGCTCTGGAGATGAAGCAGAGAAAAAGAATGTACACAGGCACACATGATGACATGTCTTGCATAAAATCTAACTAGAGGTCACTTTTTAAAGTCACTTTTTTTAATGTAGATTCAACTTTTCTTATATCTGTTAAAAGATTCAAAGGAAAGCCTGAAAAGAAGTTCTGAATGGAGCCTCTATATAGGTCAAGGGAAGCAAGAAAAAGGATAGTACAAACAACATGACATTTTATAGACTGCTTTCAAAGAACACCTCTGGTAATTCCTAGCTCTTAAATCAGAATGGCAAAAATCTTTTCCTTAACTTTGAAAAGAAGACACTCACTGATGTGGAATCTTCATTTTTTTTTTTCATTTTTATATTTATATCTGATTCAGTGGACTTTTTTGCATTATCCCTTGGTTATGCCTCCAGTTCTGGCAATATCTGTCTCACACTACATTAATTAAAGATTTAATTTCATAAACTTGTTCTTTCTCCCTCTGTATCCTCTGTTCTATATAAGGGTAAGGATTAGTAACAACAAGGGCACCATCAATTGCTGTGCCATGCTCCAAGCATGGGAGAACAGGCTGAGTGTGATGCTGCGTTTTCTGACCTGAGAACATCACCTTACTCAACAGGTGGACAGCTAGTGAGTTTTATGGGATGAATTGCATCCCAGGAATTGTGTGTATATATATGTATACATACATACATACACAGTGCCTGTTAATGCCTAAGACAAGCCTTCTGCTGTAAGATGGGAATGTAGCACCCCAACAGGACAGGGGAGCCAATGCAGAGAGGCTGCCTCCTTCTTTTGTCAAGTTGGAAAGGCAAGAGATGAAAAGCAGAGTAAACAAGTACTGACAGAGCTAGGAGCAAGAAAGATGTATATAAATGAATAGCTACACAAAAGTGTATGCTAGTGCCTGACTGTAGACATGCAGATTTAGAAATTATTTAATTCAGTTGTCTGGCAAACAGTTACTGTGCAGAAAAAAAAAAAAATATGTTCAGAGTATGAACAGAGAAGAGATAATACTGACAATGTCTTGTACAAAGAAAAAGTTATTCTCAAAGCCTAATTTTGCTGGTTGTCCAAACTAGTTACTACTTTTCCTACAAAGGAAAACTTCTTTTAGGAAATTCATAAGGAATTATCTGACAGTTTTAAAGCAACATAGCATTATTCTTTACTGTCACAGACTTGTCACTATGTGGCCAGATCACCGAATGCTCTACCTACTGTTAATGGATATCTTTGATTTGGTTCTAAAGTGCCTGAAATGGGTATCAGCCTGCTGAGAGGCCTGGAACAGCTTTACAGAAAAGTAATCTTTCTTCAGTAAAGACACGTTATCCAGCATTAGTCATATCAACCAGTATTTCAGATACATTCAGGATGTTCAGTTCCTGAGATTTGAACCTACTTGATCTGAAATTTTTGGCAATGTTGGGGCAAAAAATAGCTTCCTTTGAGAAAGATTTTATTTTGCTACCTCCAGCAGCTTGAAAAGCTTTTAACTTAGCAAACATTTCTGGGAGCAGGACCAATTATTTTTTTCCCTGTGTTTTGAGCCTGTATGTGATACTTAAACACATCAAATAAGATGCTGTCCCCAAGAGCATGTTGGCTTTGTCACACTGAGTAATCAGGTCTTGTTGATTTTTGGAAGCTGTCTGTTGTCTCAGGAAAAGAATCCGCAGGTTTATCCGACAGTGACAGATGGTTTGGTTAATAAAGGTGGCAGCGACTCTGGTGGTGTCACAGTCCTGGCAGCTGGGACTCCAGGGCACAGCACGCAGCCGTGCTGAGTCCATGCACTGTCAGACACCCACGTGTCTACAATCGCCTCACCTTCATTCTGTCTGAGCTGTTAAGAAACAACTTGCCACACACCATTTCAAACGTTCCTAAGGACTCCCTTGTCAGAGCAAAGTTTCCTCCTCTTCAGTAACACAGAAGAAGCAGTGACTTACTGAAAAGGCTGCTTTCAAAAACTTGCTGGAGGAGCAGAAGGCACAAGCACCTAGCTCTTTCCTTCTCTATCCTAGTACAATTATAAAGACTCTTCAGGGTCTCTTTTCCCACTCCTTGCAAACGCCTTTGTCACTTCCTCAGACATACAGCTTCCTCCTTGGACATGTCCACACAATTCAGAAAGCACAGGAAGAAGATAAAGAGAAGAAATTGGCATTAAGTGATTCCCAAGCAGGTTTAGCAGAAAATGTTACCACAAAATGCTAAAGTGTCAAAATGAATGTGTCAAAAAATTAGTTTAGGGATAAATAGATGAGTAATTATAATTATTTAATTAATTAATTACCAAACACGGAGTTGAAAGACACCATATAACAGATTAAAGCTATCCTTCATAATTTTCAAAAGACTCCTTTTAAATAGACTTTTCTTAATAGAAGGTAAAAGGTATCTGTGGTGAGAAAAACAGGCCTTCCAGTCTAGTTTCTTAAAAGTCAAAATGTAATTATTTTTTTTAGAAAAGTTTTGTTTCTTATGTTTCTTTAAAATAGTAATAAAGGGCTCTGTATCTTGAGTATCTAGCAGAAATTTCACCTTTTGAAACTCATGAGTTTGTAATCTTGTATTTTTTACATATAAAAATAGGACACGTGTGCACAGTTACATAGCATGAACCAGTTTCCAGGAAACCACATCCATGAACAAATGTAGGCAGTAATTCTAAAAGGAGCCTTATAAATGCTTTTCCAAATATTCTAGGGCCATGGTCTCTGTTCCTGCCACATTGAAAGAGGAGAGGTAAGCAAAAAAGGTACTTCACAGAATAGGAACTCAGCTGTGTAGCAGTATAGTACCGGAGACTAGCAGGGTTTAAATATTTAAATAGTAGTCTCTTTAAACCAAGAGAGCAGTTTTAAAATTGAATGGTTAAATTCTCCTTTTCCCTTCCTCTTTTATTTCTTTTTAATGACATCTTTAATTTTTATTTTAAGCCATATCCTCAGTGACCCAATAGGCAAAAAGTCTGCAAAAGCCCTTTAAAGAATAGAAATTTAGTCCCCACGGCATTTCTGTTCATCTTTCCAAATACTGCACCATGAATCTGGGTCTCTCATTTAATATAAAGGTGGAACAAGATAACAAGATACTTGTATAATGCAAAAAAACCCCAAACCAAATAAAAGCAGCTGTTTCTCTTCTACCCACTATAATCTCCAACTTTCAATTCCATTTTGTAATCCTATGCATTGATAAAGTGATTGAAGGCAAGGGATTTTTTATTCTCTTACCTTTGCTTATGGAATATGAGTAAAATTACTCTGAGCAACACAACACGTTTCTCCAGGTGTCTTCTGCTTCCACTCCTAATGACAGCTTTCTGCAAAGTGCCCCCTTTGAGAAGATGGACAGGGTTATTTACAACGTGTTTACTATCACTTCTAAAACAGGTGTTTCACTACATCTAGAAAAAAATGGCCTGTCTTATGTAATAATACATTTCTTAAGCCTTAGACAAACTTCAGCTAAGTTACCTATCAGCACTAATGAGATAATGAAAAGAATAATTGCCCTCATTAAAATTTCACATTCTTCTTCTATCCATTAACTCCATATTGAGAAACTATTGCTGCGGCGAAGGCGTATTTGGCCTTCAAGGGCAGAGAAGGTCAGAGTCTGGCTAGCTGAGGTTAAGGCCGACACCCAGCTGCATCCTGCCAGCACCCCTCAGCGTTGTAAGGCCTCGGGCTGTGCTGGTTGCAGACTGGATCGCTGCTAAACAACGAGAAGGAAGGAGCTGGACACTCGCCAGGGGCCAAACAGGTTTATTGGAAAGCCCACCATGCCAGCCAGGGAGGAAACCCCTGACATACCAGCGAATGACCCAGAACAAAAGGTGTCTCAGGGTTATAAAGGGAAGGGGTGGACCTGGGAGGGGCTTACAGAAGACCAAAAGGGGGAGAAGAGGGGATGAGCTTAACACAAATGACATAGTGGAGAGCCCAATAGGTACCAGGCATGGGAGGGGCCCCGCGACCACAGCCAACCACAACCCCCAAAGAGGAGAAGCTTCTGGAACACTAGGTGGAGTGGGGGGCTGATTGACTTGGCCCAGGGAGGAGAAAAAGCATACATATGAGGGAAAAAGGGGAGGAGGAATTATATAACCTAAAAGATTGACAATAGAACTGGCAGGGCTGTGGCGGGAAAACTGAGGAGGGCAGAACCATTTTACACAAAATGGGGGGGAACAGATACATAAAATGGGGGAGGAATTAAATGAACTTAATGAACACACTACAACATATTGCCATGGAGGATAGAAAGATAATCACATGGAACAGGCTGCTGGTTTATGAACAGTTATTGTCCTCACCCTGTGTGTCTGAAGGAGAAATGGTCACCCAACAGCCACTCCTGCAGCTGAAAGAGGCTAAAATTCAAAATTTGCATATTGCAACACTACAGGGATAAATAGTTATGTCTGTTTATTACCTTTCAACTTCACACTAAAATGTAAAAATTTACAAATAGTATGAGGAAAAGTTTGATACACTAAGATTCACTTAAACTCTTTGGTAAGGTGGAATTCAAAAGTACCATTTTTTGTGGGAAAATACAAGGAAATATCTCTGAAACTGAGTCAATACTTCAGATGTTCAAGAGATTTACCAATTCTTATCTTTTTTTCTCAAGATTATCCCAGGTTTATTACATTTTGGCCAAGAAATGATCAGCCCCTAAGCTCACTCTAACTCAATGCTACATCTAATTAAATTCCCAACACTTCATACTTCTCCTCTAGTAAATTCACAGGGATTAAACACATAACACACAGGTGCCTGGTCCACCTCAGACAGGTGCTTTCACCTCTATTGCCCTTTTCCAAGACCTGCTGCAAGGTCATCTGCTTTCTTTCCCCCCTGCAAACAAGCTTGTCTTCTCCTTTGCTCTTCAGGATACAAAAATCTCTGAGCTGAAACCTGAAATACCATTTTAAATTACAGGAAAGCATTCACAACAGATGAAACAAAGAGAGGTGAGAGTTCCATCTGGAAGGATATTGGTTAACCTCATCTATTGCTCACCTCACAGACACTGCACACCTCATTTAAAGAAGCGCCAGTAATGCTGCAATCGCTTTCACACAAACTTAAAAAACAGGAACTATTTTAAAATATTCACAATTCCTTTCTTCAGGTAGGAGATCACAAGATAGAATATGCAGGAAGATGGCCCATATTGCTTGTTGGTAAACTGCAACTCAAAATGTATTTGCTAGTTTAATTCCTGTATCTAGCTGGGCAAACATTAAATGCATTATGGGATGCTGATTGTCATCTTTGTTTTCAATTGTTAAATGACATCACAGATCATAGAATGGCCTGGTTGGAAGGGACCTTAAAGACCATCTGGTTCCAACCCCTTTACTATGGGCAGGCACACGTTCCACCAGACCAGGCTGCAGTCCCAACATGGCCTTGATAACTTCCGGGAACTTTGTCAGTGCCTCACCACCCTCACAGTAAAGCATTTATTCTAATATCCAGTGTAAGCCTCCTGTCTTTCAGTTTTAAGCCATTCCCCCTTGTCCTGTTACTACATGCTCTAGTATATAAAAAATATGCTAAATGATACTTTGAAGGCTGTCATAATATTTTGCTTCCAATTACAGCCACTCCTGTAGGAATTCAGTGAGTGGTGAACAACCATGGGACTGGCCCAGGACATTGCCTTTGTGATCTGAGTTAAAATGTCTGCTGTTCCTCACCCCTCCTACTCCCCACAGCACTGAGTTGCAAGTACCAAGTTAAAGTATGGAGTTGAAAACCCTGAATTTACAATGGAACCTTCCAAAGCATTCAGATTCTAATTCTTGGAGAGAATTCTTTAAAAAAAATACTACAGATACCCCTATCCCAGGCTCATTAAATGTTATTGTTCAATCTAGGAATATTTTGCCCCCCCTAAGACTGGCTAGTTTTAACAAACCATTCATGTTGGAGGGGTTTTCATTTTGTTATCTTAAAAAAATAAGTAAGGAACAGATTTTTCATATTCATTTGTCATTTCATGAACTAAGGGCTCAGAAATTCTGGATTATTACTTACCTCAAAAATAAATTTCATCCTTACAGTCTCATGGTTAATTTTTTTTTTTTTTTCACTCAGAAAAGTGAGGACAATTCTGCTTCAGAGAAAAGCTGCAGTTTAAATGCAGGCATTGGCAGGTGAAGTGTGTGGGTTTCTACTTACCTGCTTGTTAGTCTTGGCAAAGAAATGAAATTACTATCTGAAAAGGATCACAGCAGTGTATTGCACCTTTCACACTCAGCAGAACCATGAAAATAGTGAGAAAAGAGAGTTGCTTTTTTCTTCATAAAACATCTGACTTACTCTGACAAAGATCACGACACATTAGTGGCTGGAACAAGACTGAAAAGAACAAACAACTGCTACGCAAGTTATTTTTTTGGTTTTTAACATTCAGCTCTAAATAATGCCTTCCTTTTGCTGTGTACAGGTAACAAAGAGCTGCTCAGAGAGGTTTTTCTGGACTAAATATCTGAAATAAATAGTAAATAATGTCATACCATTAAGCTAAGTCATGCAAGGCAACAACATCACATTTTAAAAGCCTCTCAGAGAGCTCTCTTTCATCTATACTACATGAAAACAAAATCAATTCTCCTTAAAAATAACATAAGTGCTCTCGTAATTGAAGCAATCTTTTCAATACAGCTTGTGCAGTGACAGGAGAAAATGCAAAATATTTTTTATTCTCTAGAAAATGGCTCAAAGGCAAAGTGAGCATAGCCCTTTGAGACCTGCAATAACCTACAATGAGGGCAATAGCCATCAAACAGAAAATATAACAGATGGCAGCATGGTTGCTTTACTCTCAGATACAGGTTACTGAACAGATGCCTTTAGGGCTTAATATTAGATACTTTTTCCCTTTCTTCTAGACCATGGCATTGGTTTGTGCACATGCCATTTATAAAACAAATGCAAAACACCATAGGGAAATGAATAAAGTTTCAAATGGCAAAATGTCAGCAGAAATACAAATTTACAGAGGATAATGTGATTATGAATGTTGGTGGTATACCCTGAAACATAAGCTTACCCTTTACAGTACACTGTATCTATCACACATTATTTTGAGCTATCTTACACAGTTCAAAAGTATACACATAAAATCTGTTATAAACCCTCCATTTCTTTGCCAGAAAGGTCAACCACCCAATAGTGTAAAAGTCAGCTCTCTTGCTTACCAAGTTTAAACACTCAAAAGCAGCAAGACAAGAATAGAGAAAAAAAAAATGTCATACACAGCAAGGAGGGAGATTTCTACAACTACCTAAAAAGATAAAGCACACAGAGATATAGATCACACACTGGTAAAACAGATAACAGCAAGAAAGATTATTTCTAACTCCTCAGGCTTATTATTTCTAACTCCTCAGAACTGCAGAGGAGGATATTTTAGTAAATATTTCTTGGAACAGTATTTGTTTTGCTAAAACTGTAGTAAAAAAGTTCCTTCCTTTTAGCCCAGGAAAAACAGTGTTTAACAAATAAACTGGGCTTCCTTCTTTAAAAGAAAAGGCACATTGATTGCAGTAAAGAAACATTCAGATGGAAAATACAGTGACAAATGGACATCACTGTCGCTTCTACCATTTTGGGAAAGGAGAGGAAACTCTATTTTTAATAGCCTGGAGGACAGTTGGAGGAAATACACATGGATAGTGAGATACCAGAAAAAAGATATTGTGTGACAGAGTATTTGCTGCAGCTTATACTGCTTTGCCAGAAATGCGGTGTCAGAAACACCACAAGGAACCTTTCCCAAGTTTCACAGAACTTTTGACATGATATATTTTCCCAGGGAAAGTAGGATAACCTTAAGCTGAGGATGAATAGACATGGTTAGCTTTCATTTTATTATGAACTTGTTATGACCTTATATATCCTATTTTCTCTGCCTCAATTCTCCTTCAGCATTCAGGCTACTTTCCGACACTTTATAAAATGGTTGGACACTGTAGCACTGAAGGTTGGTGGAAATTCAACAGAAAAGCAAATTTCAAAGGCTTCCCCAAAAAACTTTAAGCACCCTCAAGGAAACAAAGTAATCTAGGGTTAGGGAAATTCTATAGCTGTCTAGGCTGTTTTTCATCATGCTTGAGTCACCAAGACATTAGCTACTAATCAGAAAAAAATTATTCTCCTGGATGCTAATTATTAACACACTGCCATCTTTGATACCTTATTTGAATTATTAAAACAAAACATTAAGAAAATTAATCATAAAGGAAAACTCATCCAAGCTACCATACAGAAAGTAGCCTACAGAATATGCTTTCTTCTTCCTTTTCTCTTTAACCATCTTGAAGTATTCTCTTTCTGTAGTAAACCCACTGACTTTACTAAGACAATTCAGTAATATAAGGATTTTACATAAAGAAAACCTGATAGATTCATTCACAGCAAAACTTATTCCATGATAGAGACATAGCTACTAAAGGCAAATTCTGAAAGATAACTGATAGTTGTTTTAATTTTAGTCCGAAGATGGAAAAGACCCACTCAGATTAGCCAAAATAAACAAAGTTGTGTCAGCTCTAAGAGTAGCAGGAGCACTGAGCTGCATTTCTAGGCCTGTAGATACAAGACAAATATTGAGTAAGTGGAAGAGAATTGTAAGTTACGTGATCATTAAGTAAGGGTGAGAAGGACAAAACTGGAAAGAAACTGGCACCCAGGTTAGCAGGTTTGCACTTGGCAATGCTCTCAAGGTTATATTTTGTAAATACCTGAAAGACACAAACCCCAAGGAGTTGTATAGTGATATGAACAAGCCCTTGTAAAAGGAGTTGAATTTATCATACAGTTGGTTTGAATGAGGAAATTCCTAACTAGATTGTTCAGATTTCAGGCACTGAAAGCACAGCTTTTTCTTGCCTCCTTTTCAGTACGAAATATTCCAAGACATGTGAACCCTCCCAAGTCTCCTTTATTTTATACCTATATACAAAAGGTTGAAAATACGAAATGAACATAGGAAACTCCTTGATTTGACAAGGAGTTTGATTCAGACACCAACCTGCATTGAGCTAGCAATATAAATAAAATTCACGGTCTATTTGCAAACAAGAAGTTCCATGGCTGGTGATATAACCCATCACCAATTATATGCCTCATCTAGTTGAAGAAAGGTAGGATGACTTTGCTAGGGAAGTGCAGCAACTTGAGCCTGCAGGGACCATTGATTCTGCATGTAAAATATGACAGCAAGCATATTATAAACTGCAGCACAAATTTAAGATGTTTACAAATTCTTCTTTTCCTTCTCTCCTCATCACTTCTCACTCAAAGCATGTACTACATTGCAGATTGCAAATAATTTTAGGGGTGGGGGGTGAGAACATCTGGATAAAATGATTGCCATTTTTCTGTTTATGTTGACATGCACTCATTTGTGTGTTATCAGACTGTTTCGGTGCTCTGCTTCTAAGGAAAATAGTCTGGTTGTCTTCTGAATCCATTTCAGCTTTCCAGAGCTAACTGCCTTTCTCATACATTCATTATTCTGTGCTCTGCAGGTTTTAGTTTGCCTTATTTCTCTGGATTTAGGTTGTATTGACTTAATTTCTTCACTCATATTAGCACAGTTAAAGGTAACATTGTTAGTACTCAGCCCTTTCCAGAACAAATGTATTTGGTATATTATTTTAAAAGCCAGAAGGTGAATAAAAATATTTTAGAGAAGCCACATATTGGACACAGATTTCAAACAGAGTAATAAAGAAGGATTCTAAGCCTACAAATTTTGTTTCAATCCCTCCTTTCTTGTCCTCTCTCTTTTATATAAATGCTTTTTTACCTAAGAGCAGGTAAACAAAGATGCCTCATTTTTCTGTTGCAACCCTGCCTTCTATTATCTAAAAAATGCCTACTGATATGAAGCAATAATCCATACCAACAGAGCATTAACTGGATTAATTTATGCATCCAGAATTCATCTAAGACTATCTTTTTGTTGCATATAGGTAACAGCTTACAAAAGGAAAGCCTTCTAAAATCATGGCTCAAACCTGTTGCTATGTAGAAAAGGATTATGTGAATGTGACTGAGCTGAATTAGAGGTGGAAAGACAAGTCATGTCACCATTGCCTGTTCACATCGTGGTGTGTGGTGGTTGTTTGAATTATGTTTGTTATGATTTAAAACTGTGTAACTGATAAAGTAAACTGTGTAACTGCTTTAAAATGCCTGGTTTCTGCAGAAAAATGGCTCTCCTTTGTACCTGCAAAAATGGCTCTCCTTTGTACCTGCCTGAGAACTCTGCATTGCTCTGCTTCACACGCTTTTCTTTAGTAAACCAAATAGCAAGAGTTAAAGTGTTCCCTATCGAATTGGTTTAAGTAGAAGTGACAATACAATCTCCAAGAAAGCATAGGAATGATTTCTACCCAAAAACCACAATCCCATCATAGTCCCTCAGAGCTGTCAGGACAGAGCACCTGAACATCTCTGAGGTAGAGGCAAATGTATCCGACAGTGTCTGGTACCTGGTGCTCCCTGCATGTGATGCTCTCATGAGCACTGTGCAGAGGTCATTGAACTCTGCCTATGGGGATCCCCATACAGGATGTTGCTTGGAGGCCTCTTCTCCTTCCTTTTTCTTCTACTTCTCTTCATTTTTAATTAAGAACAACAACAACATCATCTCCAAGAAAGCCAACCCAAGAGCCACTTGTCAACCTATTACTTCAAGAGCAGCAATACTGGGAATTGTGGCTTATGCTTCATAGGAAAAACATGAAATATTATAACATATGTATGGTTGGCTGAAATATTATTCTGCAACTGATACACTAATTAGTGTCTTCACAATTCCTTTTCAGAAAAACTTCTGCATAACACAGAAGAGCTAAAGCTCTACATGACAGCCTTATTTGCTACCAGATACATGGCTGAATCTTTGCCTATATAAAAATTACTTCAGGGAGTTTGTGTCTAACTAACAGGGGAACTATGGCCTGTCTTCTTCACTGTTTATGACTCTGCCAGTCTTTGTGTCATTTGCAGAATTTCAGTTCTCTTGGAAAAAACCCCAATGAATAAGAGGAAAAAAACCCAAACCATAAATAGTTTACATGGGTGTCCAGTAGCAAAGAATTAATGAAAGGTAAAATAAGAGACGCTCAGCTGTTTCTCTACCAAATATACTTCAATTTTCCCTACCAATTAATTTCATCAGTATTTACAAATGCTTTATGAAAAGATTCATACCATTATCAATCACCATGATTCCTGAGATTTTCCTCCACAGAAATGAATATTTGACTAATCCACCTAAAATCCATTTCAAAAAATGTTGGTTCAAAATTTTTTTCTTTTAATAAGATGTTATTAGTTGTATAAATTAACAAGTCCTTTTTCTTTAACTTCTGCGAACAATTTAATATTAATTCATGTAGATATTACTGCAATTCTTTTTTAGCTGAGAATCTTTTGAAAATGTATACTTATTCTCCCAGGGTTCAAGGATAACCTAAAAAATGTTTTCTATCTTTTATACAAATGTCTTTCTCTGTGTCTCTGTCTGTTTCCATGTCAATATGTTACTGCTTTGGACTCCTTTTATGCCTGCTACATTATTTAAAAAAGGGAATGATGAGAAGCTGAATTGTCTGAAAGTTAGTTCAAAAGTGTTATGGCAACTTCAGTGAAAAAACTATTGGCTGAATTTACACCCTGAATAACCTCATGGGTCACTTTCAGTGATTTTTCTAAAGATGTATCTGTGCTGCTGAGAGAAAAAAAACCCTAGCAAAACAGTAATACATTCTGCGGTTTTGTAAGTTCCATCACTGAAACACAGTTCAGGGCAGCAGGTGTGCTAACGTGACAGAGGAGAGTTTTGCTCATTAACTTCAGCAGTTTAAGTTAGAATAAGCTTTGACCCTACAGCATTATCTTCTAATCTTTAGATGAAAGCAGGAAAAGCTACTTATGATATACCAGGAAAGAGAAACAGATGTCAGCTGCTGACCACAAACGAAGCCTTTGATATGCCAAAAAAAGGGAGCGCTTTCCAGAAATTCCTATTACCTCTCTTTTGTGCACATATCTACTTGCATGAGCCCAAATATATGTTTTTTTTTCATTCTGGGTTAAATGTAAACTCTAACCTGTTTCAATTCAGCCTTCACACAGATAAATCATTTTCTGCAGTGAAGGATTTTTCAAACTGATCCTATTTAAGAAGTCTTATTGAACTTCACAAGAAGAATGTATCTTCAGCATCAATAACTTCAGCAAACACCCTATTCTGCTGTCACAGCTGTCAATTCTTTACAGCTTATATGTTTTTGCTACCAAATATTAAAAAAAAGTAACTAAAGGAAAAACATGTTCCTTGTTCAGACACTCTCACATATAAGCCTTTCTTTTGTGGTTTTCCTTCAGCTGAGATCTCATTTCAGGAAGACAGATGAGGAATGAATACCACAGTCCAGCAACTATTATAAATATTTCACCTATGTTTACAGAAAAAAATAAAAACTTCCTGTGCCCACAGACATTTCAGAAGCTTCTT